AGAGCAAGGAAGACTACAGCACTCCCACTGACCTTCTTGTATACACAAGATTCATCCGAATTTCTTTCAAAACCAAAGCCAATGACAGTTTCGTGAAAGCGGATGTTCCAACTCCGTGAGGCTTGCTTCAATCCGTAGATTGATCGCTGCAACTTGCATACCTTGGTAGATTCTTCAGGAGCGCAAAACCCTTCAGGTTGTGTCATAAAGATATCCTCAAGGAGGTTTCCATTAAGGAAAGCCGTTTTGACGTCCATCTGCCAGATTTGGTAATCGTGGTATGCTCCGATAGCAAGTAAGATCCGAATGGATTTAATCATGACAACTGGAGAAAAAGTTTCGTCATAGTCGATACCATGTATTTGACAATATCCTTTTGCTACCAATCGTGCCTTGAAGGTTTGCACCTTACCATCCATGTCAGTCTTCTTTTTGAAGACCCATTTGTACCCAATGGGTTTGATCCCTTCGGGTGCATCAACCAAAGTCCATACTCTGTTGGTGTACATGGAATCCATTTCGGACTGCATGGCTTGACGCCATTCCTCAGCCTCGGGACAACTGATTGCCTCGAGGTAGGTCTCCGGCTCATCCTGGTCAATAAGCATTACGTAACCCTCAAAGGTTAGAAGGAATCCATACCTTTCAGGTTGTGTGCGTAACCGGTTAGATCTACGGGGTTCTTGTGTATCTTGAGCATTTTGAGGTACAACAGTTTGTTCCTCTAGCTCATGTTCCAGAACCGGCGTGGTAGTTTCTTCGTCGTCTCGAATTTCTTCGAGCTCTATCTTTCTCCCACTAGTTGCGTTGGAGAGAAATTCCTTCTCGAGGAAGACACCATTGCGAGCAACGAATACCTTCTTATCGATAGGGTGATAGAATGAATACCCTTGAGTTTCCTTTGGGTATCCCACGAAGAAACACTTATCAGACTTGGTGTCAAGCTTGCCATTCGTCATAAGATGTTTGACATAAGACTCACAGCCCCAAATCTTTAAGTGTGACAGAACCGGGCATTTGCTCGTCCATAGCTGGTATGGTGTTCCTTCAACCGCCTTCGTTGGAACTCGGTTAAGAGTATATATTGCAGTGCTCAGTGCATACCCCTAGAATGATTCTGGTAGAGTCGAATGACCCATCATAAAACGAACCATGTCAAGTAGGGTTCGATTCCTCCTTTCAGAGACACCATTCCATTGTGGAGTCCCAATGGATACCATCGAACTCACCACTTAAGTATTCTCCACCTCGATCGGATCGTAGTGTTTTAATACTTTTGCCAAGTTGTTTTTCAACTTCATTCCTGAATTCTTTGAACATTTCAAAGGATTCTGACTTGTGTTTCATGAGATACACATAGCCATATCTACTGAGGTCATCAGTAAAAGTGATGAAGTATGAATAACCACCTCGTGCAGTTGTATTGAAAGGCCCGCACACATCACTATGAATGAGTGCCAGAAGATCACCAGCTCTTTCACCGTGTCCGGTGAAAGGAGATTTGGTCATCTTACCCAATAAACAAGATTTGCATGTGTCATATGATTCAAGATCAAATGACTCCAGCATTCCCGACCGATGTAGCTTGGATATGTGTTTCTCGTTTATATGGCCTAACCTACAATGCCATAGGTATGTTTGGTTCAAACCGTTCGGTTTGTTCCTCTTGGCTGATATGTTATAGACAGGCATGTCCAAGTCAAGGACATATAACCCATTGGTCATGTTGGCATTAGCATAGAAAACATTCTTTCT